TAGGACAGAGAACCGGTTGTTTACTTTCTGAGCAGTTTGGCGAACTGGTTGTTAGAAGAAATCATTAGGACAGAGAACCGGTTGTTCAATTATTTGAATCCCACCACTGGTTATGCCCGTTTTTCACAATTGTTGCAGCCTCTACATGATCACGTCATCAAAATTCAGAGGCTTGGCAATGCAATCATATTTATGATGGTTGTAGTGTCCTGGGGTCATGTGACCACCTTTTGCAACCTTCTGACAAGCAATGTCAATGGGGAAGCCAGATTCACTTAACAAGCATGTTGCTAACTTAACAACTGTGATGATTCACTTAACAACTGTGGCAAGAAAAGTCGTAAAATTGGGCAAAGTTCATTGAACAACTTTCAAAATTTGGGCTCAATTGTGGTCATAGGTTGAAACTACCGTAGTTTGCCTTCATCCCCTAAGGCAGTGTTTCTCAACCTTGGCAACTTGAAGATGTCTGGACTTCAAGTCCCAGAATTCCCCAGCCAGCGAATGCTGGTCACTTTTATTCACCACTTTTATTCAATTTTGTGTAATTTACCCAGATTTGGAAAACATGGCCTTAGGGGTTAGTTCTTAGCTGCCTCTCTTCCGCTCAGGGATTCACTGAGTTATGTCTGGCAAAAAAATAAGAACATTAACACTGGGTCAGTCTTGAAATTACTTAAGATCTCTGACTATAATGCAACACCAAAAATACTGGCAAATATTACTTGATAGCCATTTCAGAATCAAGTCGGGAGCTTCTCCAGCTAAGACCCCCAAATCTAATTGGAACATTTTGGCCCTTTTGCCAATAAATAAACTGTCCGATCAGATTTGCAGAAAACATTTAATTTGTACACATTTGCTAATGAGAGCTTTTTTGTCATGGTTTAATCTGAGAGGATATTTCCCAGTCCTTCTTCTGATGGCAATAGAGTACAACAGGTAGTCCTCGACCTATGACCACAATTGATCCCAAAATTTCTGTTGCTAAATGAGGCATTGGTTAAGTGAGTTACGACCTTTCTTGTCAGAGTTGTTAAGTGAATCACTGCACTAGTTAAGTTAGTCAGGACCTAACCGGAGGACCTGCCGGGAGTTGCGGGGGCCATGGGGGTGGTTGAGGGGACCAGAGACACGGGAGAGGGTCGGGGTATTGCGGTCTAGACACCTGAGGTGAAATGGGTTGAGGAACAGGG